CTTTGGTAAAAGTGATTTAAATATGAATTAATGTTCGAATAACGTACATATTTAAATTATATGTTATAGCATCATATCTCTAGTACATAAATAATGTACAACATAACCACAAATATATTAATTATTTAACAAAAAATCTTCGACGGCCTTCTCCAAAGTGTTCGGTTGAATCCGCCTCATGGAACAATTTGTAATTAAAGTTATTTCTTTAGAAATCAGAATCTGAATTCAGATTAACATCGTCAATAACTGCAAATATCGGCGATGCATATAGGGCCTACATAGTTAATGTATACTCTGCTATTGGTGTCAATTTCTTCTTTCACTACATTATTATTATTATTATTATTATTATTATTGTTATTATTGCTATTAGCTGTTGGTACGACTTTAGTTTTTTCATCACACTACTGGCAACTCTCGATTTTCAAGCTCTTATATTTAAGAACTTACTCTTCCTTGCTGGTTACGATGTTATGATCGCATGGCATAAGAACGGTTTGTTTTCTACTCTTGTTATTAGCTGGTCCTTCAGTATTGTTCGCAGCCACACAGTAGTCACATGTTTTGTTCTATTTAGAAAATGTGTGTTGGTACCCTTTGTAACTTCGAGAGAATTTTACATGTGCCTGTGAAAGTGACCGCAGAACATATCAAGGCTTTTCAGGTATTCGGACGTCCGTAAAATTGCGCAAGCTCATAAATGATGCATTTATTATACGGTTTCATTATTATCCTTAAGCACTTTATTATTCCCCGAAAAAGTTAAAATTTTATTCCAAGTCGAGGCGGAACTTACGTTTGGAAGTAAAACATGTCGCAAACATCTCGCGCGCTCATGAGACAGGGGGCGAATGACGCTGAAATGGCGCGTGATAGGGAGCCGAAAGGCCGCGTTCTGCAGCCGTCTTTCACGTCTCGCACAACAGCACCAAACAAGGATTCGTTTGTGGGACGTTTCCTAATACTGAGAACCTCCAGCTAGTAGGCAATATTTTGAGACGAGCGCCCGTCTCCCGTGAATCTCGGCGAAATCATCGTTTTTTTCTAGACACCGCTGTCTTCCTTACCGCGGTGACTTAGCGGTCCGGTGACGCAGCCTTCTTCGACCCTGCGCCTCCTTGTCGTCGGTGCTGTTTTCTGCGCTCGCATTGACGTTGGAGAGAGGCACTGTGTCAATATACGCTCTAACATCTGAACCACAGACAGGGAAATAATGATATTTGCGGGAAAATTTGTTAGATTTTAAACTGCTCATTTTCAAAACTTGAACACTTTATGATTGAAGGTAGTCATTACAATACCTCCAGTACATCGAAAATAAAATGCGTGGATTCTCTCTTCCATTTCCTCCCTGAATTCTGTTGTTGCCATGGAATCATTTGCAAAGACACCACGTTCTGGTTTTCATGTTTTCTGATACACTGCACTATTTAACAGAATGCGTTTTTCTACGTGAATTACTACCATAAGTTGGTAATCAGTTTTCGAAAATACCAGATTTACTTTCTTTTGTGTTTTTCACTTTGCTATTGTTGCATCGCCTTTGGAGTGCATACACTGCACTTTATGACATGTTATTTGCTAACAAATTTATTGCCTCTTTTCATTCTCCAAGAATGCATACATGCTTTCTATTTTCGCATTCCCACCTTTGAAAACGCATTTTGAAGAGCTTACAATTCTCAAAAGTATAATCTTCCAAACTTGCACTGCGATTCTTTTGAGAATTACCCCTTCCCTTAATCTCCAACCTCGACGACTGACATTGCTCATGATTCTCATCATGCCACGAAATTTAACTTAAGTTGGCCTCGTAGCATGGCAGCCTCCGTCACCCCTTTCGAAATCAGCGACGGTTTTGGCACATCCTACCACAGCC